TCAATTCTTCAAGTGGTCACAGATATTGTACACAGGTAAGTTGGGGATCTAGGGATCGAACCCTGGGTCCTACATCAGCTACTTCGAACTGGTGAATACCGTTTCATAAGCTTCTCTCTCGCCCACTTCGCCTTCGGGATCACTGCAGACCACCTCGCACAAGTCGCTTGTGGCAGCGCTTCCGCATGGCTCCCGCAGGAATGAATGAATGACTGGGTCCTGCCTCTTGATTTATACTTCTGCAGCTCGTTGGTCTGGCCTTTTTCCATGCCCGAAGTGCACACAGTCCCGTGCGGTACTTGCTTGACTGGACCAGGACTGACTGGGGACTGGGACTGTTGACTCAGCACAGGTAGACTCCACCACTTGCCCACTTGCCTCACCACTTGCCCACTTGCCTCAGCCTAAAAGTGGGCACTTTGAAAGGCCACTGCTGGGACCTTCCGGAAGGCCGTAGACTTGGCCTTTCGTTACTGTAGCAGCTACAACCTTGACCTTTCCGGGCTGTAGCAGCTACGACCTTGACCCTTCGAGACAGCTACAGCTACGACTGCTGGACCTGACTGGAGCTCCTACTCGACAGGTCTACAGATCGAACCCCTGCTACCTATGGACCCTACGACAACCTACCAACTGTTACAACTACACAGGTCACGGGTTCAACTCTGAGGGTCAACACAGATACTGTACACAGGTAAGGTGGGGACTAGGGGTCGAGCCCTGGGATCTTCATCAGCTACTGCGAACTGGTGAATACCGTTTCATTTGTTAGCAATAGGCTGACATGGCGCTGTTCTAGAGAGAAAAACAGGACCGCTGATGTGGCGCACTGCCTATGTGGCATGATGTGGAATGCTGATGTGGCATTCTGGCAGGACATGGTCTAACGTGGCACATACCTGTGTTGCGAGTACCTGCTGTTGATGCGCTGGGCTGACGTGGCATGCCAGTGTTGTGTGTGTGCAGACATGCATCGCTGACGTGGCATCCCCTTTCTAGACCTTCCAGGTCCTTGATGTGCTGATGTGGCAGACTCTTCGAGCTGCTGTGTTGGCATTCCAGGGGTGACACGTGGCATGCATAACATGCTGCTGAAGGTGAAGTGTTGATTGTGCACTTGCGCGCCGGCGGACGGTACGGCTTCACGATTTGCTGTAGTGTTGAGTGCTGGCCCTTGTATTTGGTTGCATTGCTTCTGCAGATGGTACAGCCGTAGAGAGAGGAAGCTAACCATTGATTGTGCTGTTGTGTTGGCTGACATACTTACCTGTTGGTTGTTCTGTGGTTGCTGTGCATACTCACAAGTGTGCTGTTGTCTTGATCACACTGGCCGTGGCTGCGGT